CTTTCTTCTGCCATTCTACTTCTGCTTGGGAGCCAACCAGCCAAGGAGCCAATGATTTTCTGAATTTGTGAGAAAAATAAATAAATCTTTCCTCTATGCTGTGGGTGTCATGCATTTTAACTAATCAAGAAACTGCCTAATACAAAGTCTCAGTGCACTTATTCCTCCCACCACATAGATTTTTTTAATTCATATTTCTTTGCATTTCAGCAATTTTAATCATATACTTGAAATTATTTGTTTTTATCATCCTTTTTATCCCCCAAGGCCCTAAAGTCTTTCTGAGACTAAAAGTCTAAGTCCTCTTTCTAAAATTAAAGCTTTACCCATTTTTGATTAAAAAAAAAAAAACATGAACTAAAGAGTCTCCTGAAAAACTCAGCATGATCTAGTGATCTCTAAGAACAAGCCTCTCAGATATCAAATGCTGCTGAACATTGCGGATTTTAATTTGCCTCAGTTATCTGGATTTGGCATCTTATATCACTAGTGAGCTGAGGGAGAACCCAGCCAATTTTCCTATGGAAACTAATATTTTGTACTTCCTCTTAACCTAGGGTTTTTCTCCCATATACTCAGAAGTTTTGTTTGGACCAATATCATAATATCTCCTTATGAAATAATGCTCTATTTCAAACTATATTTCATTTTAAACATCATACATTTGCATGGAAAAGTCCCATTCTACAATCATGCAAATTAGAAAATATTTTTCTCATTAAAAATAACAAGTTCATTCTCTAATTTGCAATCACTGAATCCCTTAAGATTTTCTGTGATTACAACAGAAAGGTAATAAATCATATATTGAATTGATTAACATCATTTACTCATTTTAGTTTTCTGACACATTACCCCTGCCATTTCCTTTCAACAGGAGACTATTTTCAAGTATCCTTTTCCTAAAAGGTTTGGGACTACAATTTGCCATGGACAGAAAGTGCTGTTAATTTTTGAGGTGTAAGTGCACCAGAATGCATTATTGTTTGAACTCAGTGATCTTCAGAGGTAATGGAATCAATATCTTTCACCTCGTTTATGTTTTATACCTTCTTACCAGTTTTCAGTTTTGGAAAGAATTTGAAGAAACTTCTCTAACTTACAAAAATTCAGTGCATTTCTGTCCAAGACATTTCTTCTTCTCCAGCTCTCCATTGTCTGATTTGTCCGCTACCAATGTTCAAACACTTGCTCTCTTAGCTCCTTGACATTAGTGGAAGGCTTAATTCCTAAAACGTTGCTCTTGTTCTTCGTATTGTGGAGAGGTTCAGTTCCTCTGAAAACCCAAGCCTATCTATGTTCATGACCTGGTTGACAATATACTTGAGTCTTTTCATTTCCTAGAAATGTGACTGTTGGGGAATAATCTCTTGTTCTGTAAGTAGCACTATTAATAAAGTTTTATGTTTTATTTCATCTGCAAATGGCTGAGTGTCTAATTAACAATCAAAAGGAAATTTCAGGGTGGGGGATTTAGCTCAGTAGCACCATGCCTGCCTCACAAGCATGAGGTCCTGAGTTCAATCCCTGGTACAAAAAAAAAAAAAAGAAAGGAAAGAAAAATACATCTCAATAATCTTATGAAATACTGAAAATACTGATACATTTTAAATATGGTCTGTTTTATGTATATTTACATATAATGTATTTTGATGCATATTGATTTATATTACTTATAAATGATATAATTCAATGTAATATATAAAATATAATATATATCAATCTATAAATCAGAATTTAACAAAAAACATTAGTCCATTCTTAATATATTTTAAAATTCTTGGGGCTCCCCATATGAAAGATTTCTGCATGACTTTGTATTTTTATTCAACAAATATTTACTGGATTCATTTTTTGGTAAAATATTGCAGCAATATATTGTGAAGGTAAGATATATCAATGGATCTAACCTTTAGAACAGTTTATTAATGGATTACAGTTCAAATACAGTATTCTTAATGGAATCTTTAATGGAGTAAATTTTTATTTTTAAAAATTTGTTGTTGTGTTTGCATTTATTGTTACCAGAAAAAATGAAATAAACTAGCTACATTAATGATTCTTGTTATTTTATTGTCTAGATTAAAATTGTTAAGTAAGATAAAAATTTTTAATTGAGTTTATTGGTACATTTTAGGTATACAGTACAGTTACATTCATCATTGGGATCTTGTACCTTTACATGACAGGTCTTGGTTCTCATTTTTTCCCCTTGTCCCTGCCCTCCCTTCACTCCCTCCTCCCCTCCCCATTTACAAACACTTTATTTACATTTTTTCATTTTCTCATATTTTTCCCATTACCTTACCCCTACCCTTCCCACTTTCCCTACACCATTAGCCCTTTTCTTCCCATTTCACATTGTCAATTATCTCATTAGGATCTTATGTACTATTATAGTTTTTTACACCAGAGAAACTATTCAGTTATTTACACATGTGTGACTTATTTATTTCACTTAGGAGTATATCCTCAAAATGTATCAATTTTCCTATGAATGAATCTAATTTATCATTCTTTATGGCTGAGTAGTATTCCATTTTATAGAAAAAAAAACATCTTCTTTATCCATTTTCCAACTGATGGGCAAATGGGCTGTTTCCGAGTTTTTAGCTGTTACAAACTGTGCTGCTATAAACATAGGTGCACACATATCACTGTGATATGATTCTTTTAAGATAAAAATTTTAACTATCTGGCTTCTAAATTTAAAAAAAAACATGAGGATGATCTATATATAAGAATACTCTAGACATATTTGCTTTAATGATTTATTGAAATAGTCAATAACTGATCAAAAGAAAAATAATTTTCTCTGGAAGAATAATAATTGAATTATTTATCAAAATTTTTTCTAACTTGCACTTGAAACACATAAAGAATAAAAGGCAATGTAATATTGCACAAATTATTCAACTGTTAAAGGCAATCATGCAAAATAGTCACATAAAATCAATTTGTACTTCAGTTTACATTTATTGCTATTTTGTTGACATTTATTTTGGAAAGAAAAGAAACTAATAAAACAAAATTAACTGGATATCTTCTAATTGCTATGAATAATGAAAAATTACACTTCTCTTAAATTCAGAAGATTTGCAATATCAAATTATCCTCTAAAGCACGTGTAAATGTGAGATTTTTAAAGACTTTATTTTTCAACTGCTCAAAATTTTTCAACAATTTTAATGTGTTAATTATCTAATTAACTTGGATAGGCAGTCCAGTTACACTTTTAAAGTTCACTGTAGATATATAATTATTTTGTAATCATTAACTTGGCTTAATCACCTTTAACACTAGTTTTCTAGGTCCTCTATTAATTAGTTTTACTAACTACTGAATATAGATAAGTTTGATTTTCATTAAAATCTTATAAAATCTATCAGCATCTGGGATAGAATGCAAGGGCATCATGGACATAACACTAGATAAAGTTCATTAAAGGTCAGCTTTTGTCAAAATCAGAAATTCTAAAATTGATTTATGCAAACACAGATGTGGTACACAGAAAAAAACTCTTTGTTCATATAAATTAAATAATATTGAAAAAAATGATTTAATTTTTTAAATTTTAGCTTCAACTAAAATCCCTTTTAAGAAAAAAAGGATAGTCCTTTAATTGCAAATGAGTATAATATTCATATTGTTTTAGTGTTTTTTTAAGATTTTTCTTTCAATTTTTCTTATCTCTAAATGTTTTTTTTTTCATTTTAAAACCAATGCACAATTTCTTTAGTTGAAGAAACCAGATATAACTGTTTCTCTTTGCAATATGCTGTTCAGTTTGAAAAGTCAGATCCTGAAAGTCATTTACTTTGGCAAATTATGTTCATTATAAATTCTGGAACTAAGTTCAATTGATATTTGTTCCCTTTGGATTATTATTTGGATCTAATACACTGATTTAGTCCCCAAAGATGAAACAAAATATTTACATATTTATGAAACATAAGTAGTCAAATACATCTGAAATTATGTATATGAATACCCAATGGCACATACACTATGATTTATATTTATAACTTCAAAAATATTGCCATCTGTCTTGCAAACAGCAAGAGAGCAGCCTAAAATATCTCTAGTTCAATTTACTTATTTTAAATTTTGTCATTTGAACATTAAAATAGAAAATAACTTTTATAAATGGTCTAAATAATTAAATAATTAAAAAACAAATTCTCTCTTCCTTTATATTTTTAACTAGGAAAATATTTTCTTTACAGAAGACAGTTTAAGAAATATTGAAAGCATTTACTTATATCAAATACTAAGAAGTCAGAAAAATCAACAATCGATAACTTGTACAGCAAAGTACAAATTAGACCCAATAATGATCACACTGTCAATGTCTGATAATCATTTTTCCTTCCTTCTTCGCATTCAAAGAACATAGAGGAAGCACAAAAAATATTGAACAATTTGCCAAAGTTCAAATGACTCTATGTCATGAGAATTTGTGATAGCTTTCTTTCATTATGAATCTCATGTACTTCTAATATATTATAATGCATCTCACTCCAAGCAACCATCACAAGGCAAAAATATTAACATTGCCTCTTTCTTAAAGCAGAATTTTTGCAATAGCAAAACTATATGAAGAAATAATGACCTAAACAAATAATTAAGATGATACACATCCTATACTCATTTATTTAATGTCTAGGCATACAGAATCTTGGACAATTCACAAAAATTGTGTGAATGTTACGTGTTTTGAGTTGTCATTTTATTGCATAAAATATACTTTATCATAGTTTGCCAGGCTTGGGCCAGCAAATCCTGATTAGAGAGACAATGAAGGCACAAGAGACTGAGAACATCTTTGTGGGGCTGTCAGGGGACTTCCAGCAGAATGGAGCTCTGAACTGACTTAAACTCAAGTTTTATTGAGAAACAAACAAAGGCATTGTGTTTTGCTAAACACCGGTGCAAATTTTCGATTAAAAAGGCTTGATGATAATTATGCTGACTCGTTAACTCTATCAAATTGTTCCCAGGATGTTCCTTCTTGTTTCAACGACAAGGCTTGGCTCTGCCCCAGCTGGCAGCAGGTGACATCTTCAAGGCGTTTCAACTCCTCAGGGTCAGTGTCTTCTGTGCCCTGAGTCAACACAAGCAGATATTAATTCCTGGGGTGTCCCAAGGAAATCCACATCTCCCCCTTTTTAAACAGTTAATCAGCCAAATTTTATGTTGTTTTGGGTGTTTTAATGCCTTAATTTTGATTATATGGACTGGGCAGAAAAGAAAGTCAGTAATAACAGCACAGTGCATTCCCCAAAGAGTATAGATGTCCAGCTTCAGGAATACAATCAGTTTAGGTTAGATTTTAATTTTATATCACTCTGTCTGAGTGGCTAGCTCTTGCCCAGCGAAGATAGTCAGCGGTCATGTAGCCTTTGTACATGAAAGGTATCATTTTTAGTGGAGCCTTGTAAGTGTTTTTTTGATCATTTTTCATGTATATTGGGTCTCATTCCAAGGACTGGGTGTAACACATGTATGTTTACAGTGCCAGTCACAGGCAAGGGCATTGCTCATATTAAATGCAGCCAAGCAATCCCCAAGAAATTCATTACCTGTTCTGCAAGTTGTAGTTGGGTAAGAAGTACTTTTGGTTTGGTTTTGTTTCATTTATCAGTACAGTATGGAATATTAATGGCTATTGTGGCATTAAGAATAGCTTTATTAACAGTCTTCACAGATTGTGTCAAAGTAGCAATTGCAGTGGCAGCTGTGGCCAGAACAACAACGGTAGCCACAGGCACAGCACTGAGCATGCCAGTCTTAGAGCAGTGCAGACCATCAAGGGCTTGAATTAAAATATCAAGGGCACAGGACCCTTACTACAGATGCGTTAAATTGACAAGTAAATAAGCAAATGTCTTTCCACTTGGCATTAAAATGCAAGAATTTGTAGGCACTTGAGGTAAATATGCATTAAATGTTCAAGTTTGTGACAGCTAACTTTATATAGGGAATTCTGGAAGGAACTTTTAAAAGGCCCTTGCAAAAATTTATAAGGATGACTGGAATACACTTTGATATAGGAAGTACTGTTATGATGAAAGGTAAGTTTACTATAATTCCTGCCATTAGATAATTGTCACTGCCATATCCAGAGTGCATGGAACGAATGTTCCAAGCTCCAGGTGGGAATCTGTGGTGAGCCATTATCCAAAAAGGGTCAAAGTTCAGATAAACCTCTTTTTCTCCAGGTTATTGAATTCTTACTATAAATAGTGGGATGTGAAAAACTGAAAGCCTATGCAGAAAGCATACCATTATGTTTCTTTTGAAGATAAGTATAACCCAATGATGGTTAGGTTTCCCAGTTTGGTCTTATGGCTGATGGGGTCTTTATACAATCTTTCATTTGTTTTTGATATTTAGGTAGTAAGTCTTTAATGATACAACAAAGGGACAAATTGTATCTGGACGCATTTGTAGTCGTATCATCATGTTTGTAACTTCTTGAAGATATAAATTCAAAGTGATTAGGACTTGAGCATCCTGTGCTGTAATGGTTAAACAGAGGGGGTCAGCACCCACATAGATAGGAGATTGTATGGATGAATAAGTTATATAGGTCTCGTGTTACTTGGAGTCAGGCCAGGCTACAGAAAGCAGCTCTATGTCTCCTATCTAGGAACTTTTATTGCTTAATATAGGACAAAGGAAATCAAACCAAGTCACTGCTTCCTAGAAAGGGGGGGTTGTATGAAAACTCAGTAAGTACGACTCAAAGTATGACTTACCATTACTGCACAGCGGACTATGGCAAGTATAGCCAGAAAAAGGCTCCTTGTCCTGTGCGTTAAAGTCAGCTTCCTAAGTCATCTTCTTGTGGTTTTCCCAGGTCACCACTGGATCTCCCCTTGTCCCAGGCAACAGGAATAGAGGCTGGTCCTTCATTTCTTTCAGATAAATGTTCTGCATTTATGGATCAGATTTCTTTGTCCCAAGGGCATGATAGTGTTTTACCAAACTGGCAACCACATGAGCCCCTCCTGCAACAACGCTCAAGCAAAACACCATTCCTAAAAAAAGTATCTACAGAAATACAGACATAAGACAATTGATCAAAAGGAGGGATGTGGGTAACATTCATGGGCCAGATCTGATTAGGCCCCAGATAGCAAAGGCTGATGCCTTATGGTGGGCCAGTGGCATGAGGAACATTGCTGAATGGTATGTTGAGTTTGGGCCTTAGTTAAAAGGAAATCTCTTCAAAGGGTCGCTGATTTTGACATAAAAGTTCAAAAGAAAGATGAGCCTTGTTGAGGGTAGAGAACATTACCAGAGCATCAGCTGCTTCATTTATTTAAGAAATAAGTCCAGCGAGGCCAGAGTAAGAGCAGAGGTGAATTATAAAGGCAGAATGGGAACTGCTCCCAGTAAGTTTTGTAATTGTATTAAGAGCAGGAATAGATCCAGTGCAATAGAGGGGTTGACTTAATCAGTTTTAATATTTTGTACAGAATATATAGCATATTGAGAGTCTGAGTCCATAAAGGCTCTTAGAGAAACATTTGTAAAGCTATCATGATATTTTGAATGGAGGAAAACCCTTTCCTTGTTAGTTTAAGGAAGCCTGATGCTAGGTTAGCCTTTGTAGCGCAGAAAGAGCCATCAGTAAATATAGTACGTGTTTGTGGAATGAGTTCAGGATGAACAACCTTAAAGATGAATGGAGTAGTAGTTAAAAAGTGCAAAAACTTTTCAGCAGTTCCAAGGATTTCTCCTGTAAAAACAACTAATGCACACTGTACTGCAACAGACTGTTGGTGCAAAGTTTGAAATTCCTCAGGGACAATTGGGGCCCTGATAATATGAGGATCGTAAACTGACAATTTATTAATTCTATAACCATTTTGAATTTGTACTGGATTAAGCTGATATTTCTTCTTTGAGTGTCGCCTCCCTTAGACACTCAGAGAGCTGGGACTGAGCTGCTAGAGGCAAGGGCGGAGATGGTGGGGGAGTAGGTCGTCCTTCAAAATATTTTGAGCTTGAAACTTAAGGAGCCAAAGTTTCTGCGAAGGGCCTATCAACGTCCTACTTTTTACCTGTCTGATGAATAGGAAATGAGCCCTCATGTCACCATGCTTGCTACTGAAACCTTTTTCCCTTGTCCTTGAGCTCTCCTCAGATTTTCCCCACCTCTATCCCATATTTCCAAGTCTAAGGTGCCCGGGAGAGAAAACCATGGATTGTGTTCAAGGACAGCCTCTACAAACTTAACAAATTCTTCCTTGATGACAGAATGATGCATCAGCCACATTCAATAACTGGCACAAGACCTTGATGCAACATTTCTGCTCTGGTAATAATTGCACCATTGTTACTCTGGCTGAAAGAGTTCCCTGCAAAAATTTCCAAGGTGTGGAAAGTCCCTGTTTGATGATTCACTTGCTGAGAGCTCTCTTTGTAGTTTCACCTTCATCACTCACTGTTGCAGTGACACTGTTCCTGTTTGGGTGCCATTCTCCAGGTTTTGGCCAGCAAACCATGAGAGGCAAGTGAAGACATGGGAAACAGAGAATATCTTTGTGAGGAAGTCAGTGGGCTTCAAAGGAATGAAGCCTCCAACTGACTTATCAACCCATTTTTTATTGAAAAGCAAAGGCATTGTATTCTGCTAAATGAGGGTTCATATTTTAGAATAGAAAAGCATGAAGAAAGGTATGTCTAATTGCTAACTGTATCAATTTTTTTCTTAGAATGTTCCTTCTTGTTTCACTGACAAGGCTTGTGCTGGCTTCAGATTGAAAAAATGCCATCTTAAAGATATTCCAGCTCCTCAAGGTCAGCAGTTTTCTACACCCTGAATCATTTTAAGCATATGTTAACCCATGGGGTGGTGCAAGGAATGCCACAACAATTCAGTAAAATAAATTGAAGAGTAAAAATATATTGAATATATTTACCTGCTTGGAATTCATTATTATATAGATGCCCTTCCTCTGATTAATAGAGAATATAAAAATATCTGAAACTGTTGTGTGAGAAATCCATAAGTAAAATACAAAATGCATACCTGTATTATATGATTTCAAAAAGATGGAAAGACACACTCTATAGAACACATTCTAACACAGAAATTACTATATTTTATAAGATTATGAATATTTTATTTGCTCATGCATCCTGTTACTCTTTACAAAGGCAATGACTGATTTCTAGCATTTAATTACTACTGTTTTAGAGACACCTAAGCATATATTACTTATTTAAAATATGGTAGCATCTACTTCATTTTGTATGTTGCTATTCATTTAAAAGTATTTTTCCTTTAAGTAATTTTCAGTTGTTACAGAGTCATCCTTTGCATGCATATTTTATAGGTCATTTATCCTTTGCTGTTACAAAAGTTATATTTTCATTGTGGTCCTGGTTATTGTCTTCTGTGAAGAGTATTTCAGTATATATTTTATACAGGAATCATATTCCGTATATCCAGTTATATGAATGATTGTATCAAGTGATTTGGGGGATTGATCGTGTAACTGGTTGATTTTTCATTGTTCATATATCCTTATTTTTGGCATTAGTAAATGTCTTTAATACTTCACTATACCCTTTCTCTGTGTCCTCTGATGTGCGATATTTAAATTAATCTCAATTCAAAGATAAATTTGTTCTTTCATATGTGATTCCACATTCTGGCCTGTAACTACTTGCAGACCAGGGCATATTGAAGAATGGATGTAATTAGAGATTTAAAGAAACTTTTAAGCTTGAGCTTGTTTGTTTTTGTGCCTTTGTATTTGCCATGACAACTTTCTCACAGTAGCCTTTTGGAAAGATATGAGTCACAATTTAGGGAGAACGAAGTCACCCTACCTAATCCAAGATGCGGTGAAGGCTAAATAAGACAAGAAGAAATAATCCACCTAAGTCATTGACCCAGGTTTGGGAGAGGGGAAAACATTGAATTGGGGGGTAGTTTCCTGTGCAAACTTGTCATAGCAATAAGTAGTTTATAGCACCAGATATTATTATAATTTATAATGTAGGAAAAAGTGAAATATTACAGCATGTAAGTAGATTTTTTTCTGCCAGTTTGACACATAAAATACTATTTCTTTATAGTTTCTAAATCATGTTTTTTGAGGTGTTGATAACTTTCTGCACAATTAGAAAAGAAAAATTGGCAATTTGCCAGAAAGCCCCTATGAATATCTAAACATCTGACTTATATTTTCTCTTTGATATTAACATAATTCTAGATTTGCTTACCATTCCATGCAGGCAGAAATTATTCAGCTAAAATGCTGAATTTATTTGAGTGGTATTTCATAGAAATAATTGTTCTCATTCTTTCACTTAAAGTCCTTTACCTAGCATCTTTGAGATAAAATCTTTATAATAAATATTAAAATTTATTATCAGATATAATATTTGTTGTTCAAGGTAATTTCTAAGCAAGCAATAATAATTATTTTCAATACTGATATATTTCATAGATCTCAGAACCGTTTTTATGATGACAACTGACTACGCCTATTTTTCCCTTTAGGTTAAACTTTGCAGTATATACCCTCTAGAGTCTTGAACTAATTTTTATTCTTCTTAATTTACATTCAATATTTAAAAGGAATTTAAGTGATACTAATCAATTATTCTCAATAAAGGAAAATCTAAAATCTTTGAATATGGATTAGGTCTCTTTTTCCTTACATGTTAATATCAATCAATATTTTAATTTTATAATTCCATAATTATTTTATGATTAAATATTAAAATTGTCATCATTGCTTTTATAGAACTAAAGTTGGCCCAGATTTATAAACATATTTATCAATATTTTATTACTTTTTTTCTTTATATCTTAAAACTATAGTATCATGACATACTTTTTCTTTCCAAAATAGTGCCTTAGAATTGAAAATTCGTTAAGTAAGAACTGCTGTGGTAAAACATTATTGTGTTGTTTTTTTTTCCTGCAAATGAATTGTCTCTGCTTAATTGCAAAAATTGAGGGGACAATTAAAGGCCAGAATTAATTTCCATTTTCTTACTTTGTAGTACTCTACATAAATTTCTTTCTATTTCTTCTCATTTTTTTCTTTAGAAATTAATTATATTGTCATTCATTTAGAGTACAGATATGCAAAATACAGGAGATACTTTTTTTCTAAATAGAATTTTTTTGGAACACAACTACATTCATTCACTTGTTTATTATCAGTCACTGTTTTGTGCACTGGAGAGAGAAGATACAACTTATTACTATCTGGCAAAAACAAAACAAAACAAACAAAAAAAACTATAGAGCATGTTTTAGGTAACATTTTTCTTTTAAAACACCTTGAATATATTAGATATTGAATGCTTGGGGGGGTGTCCGTGTGTATATTTGTATTTAATTGCCTGAATCTGATGATATTCCTTCTGGTAATCTTGAAAACTTCCCAGTACTTATTCAAAGCATATCGTTTCATTAATGCTTTCCTTGCATTTTCCTTTTTTTTTCCAAGAATTGCAGTCGGATGTAAGAGTCCTTTTTCCTTAATAAAACACTTAACATTTTTAATCATACTTTTTATTTTTGAACATTTATTCTCTCTTCTATATACGTATATATAATTTACTCTTCTGCTCTGATACTGTGAAAAGTAACTACCTTAATAAATTTAAAGAAACACTTATCAACAAATAAACAATAGGATATTATATGAATTATTTTAAAACCGTTTGTGCTTGGGATTCAGCAAAGAATTATGAAATGTGAAATTAAAAATGAAAGTGGCTGATATTTGAAATAATCAAATATATTTCATTAAATTTATTTTACTTTAACATACACAAAATATAAAAATTGTACATGTTAGAGCTATAGGAAGTTTAATTTCATGTAAATATTTTATAGTATTTTATAATCAGGTTAAAATGTGTATCTCCTTAAACATTTTTATTCTATTTATTCATTTTTTACTTCAGTATTTTCTTTTCTTTTTTTTTCTCATTGAGTTTATTGGTACATTTTAGGTATACAGTACACTTATTTATTTTTTAACCAGGGACTGAACCCTGGACTTTGCAATCGGGAGACAGGTGACTGAACCACTGAACTAAATGCCCAGCTCACGTTTTTCAGGTCTTAATAGTGAAAGCATTCAAACATTTTTCTTTGACAATATGAGGTTCACACTACCTGTTATCTATTACTAGGAACCCCTGAAACTTTACTGGAAACCTCTGTAGTAGGTTCCTGTTTCCTCGCCAGTGTATGAAGCAGGCCTGAGAAAAAATTAAAAGACAGAACTAAGGGAGATGGAACACGGGGTGCCAGACCAATGCTGGTGCAACAAGCAAAGGCGCTGGCCAGTCACTGAGCCACTGATTTTTGTTTTGTTTTGTTTTGTTTTTGGTACCAGGGATCAAACTCAGGACCTTGAACTTGAAAGGCAGGAGTTGGCACCATTGAGCTAAATCCCTGGCCCAAGTCACTGATTTTATTGGTAATCAATTAGGGTAAAGGTTAGCTCTGTGCAAAGATAGTAATAACTTGAAGAGGTGTTTTCATGTCATTTCTATGGAAATTAATGTAAGCAAGCCTCATAAAGGACAAGACAAAGCATTCTCAAATTAGGGACACAATAGACAAAATATACAGGTGTAATTAGAACATTGTCCTTCTAGCAAGAAGATACTAGTTGTGGGAATGAAATTTGGGTGCAAGTTACTCTGACCTGGGCGAATAGGCTTTGGCCAGACTTGCTTCTAAATAAGCCAAATGTAAGGTTAATTCTTTATAGCCTGCACTGCTTCAAACCTTCTTTGGGCATAATCAGTGTTACAGCATCCTGAGATCTACAGTTACCCTATCATGTAATAGCGATGACATTTCTTACACTTCTCAAGGACAACTTAGCACCCACTGACCAAACTTTCCTTCTTTCTCCTTGATAACTCACAACCAACATTCTATGACAGCAGCATTTTTATATTCTGTATATATGAGTGAGTGCAAACAATATATTGTCTTTCTGGTCCTGACTTGCATTACTTAACACAATGATCTCCATCTGAGGTTAGCAGGCACCACAATGTGGTATTGTGGTATTGCGGTGTTCATTGATGATCGGCAATAGTAAGCATTTTCTCATCTATCTGATAACCATTATTTGTTTTCTAATACAAATTTTAATCAAGTTGTTTATTTCTGTTGATGTGTGTGTGTGCGGGTCTGTGTGTATGTGTGTGTGGGGGTGTTATTGTGGATTGAACTCAGGGCATTTGCAATGATCTTTTCTTCCAATCATTTGTGTATATTTTATTTTCCAATCATTTGTGTATGTTTTATTTTGTGACAGATTCTCCCTAAATTGCCCATCCTGGACTTGAAGTTTTTATCTTTCTTAGTTTAGTCTCCACAGTGTCACTATACTTGACTTGCTGTTGAATTTTTGAAGTCTTTATGTACTCTGGCTATCAGTTATTTGTGAGACATACAGTTGACAAATATTTTTTCCTATCCCTGTAGATTGTCTTTTAAACTCTGTTCATTGTCTCCTTTACTTAGAATCTTTTTGGTTTGATGCAATCCTGTTGGTTTTGCTTTGTTTTGTTTTGTTTGCTTTGATTCCTTTTCCTTTTGACATTTTGTTCAAAACTATTTGTCCATCATAATCTTGAAATATTTTCTTAGAGTTTTCTCATAGCAGTTTTAGAGATTTTATTCTTACATTTTTTGTTCTTAATCTATTTTGAGATGAATTTTTAAGAGACATGGTTATAGTTTACCTCTTATGCATATGTCAGTCAATTAACTTATTTTCAAATAATTATATCTGGCTTGGAAAAGCAGCTGCAGAAAGTGTGTTTTATATTAATGAACTACTGAATATAAAACATATATGTT